TGCAGATTGGCTTCTTGCCCTTAGTAACATGCATTGAAGTTTCTTCCATGTCTTTCCATGGCTTGATAGCTCATTTCTCTTTAGTGTTTAATAATGTTCCATTGTCCGGATGTACCACAGTTTATCTATCCATTCACCTACTCCAATTTCTACTTAATCAGGTTCATGTATTACTAAACAAAAGTTTAACTGTAATATCAAATACAAAAATATTGGAAAGAGAAAGGAAGTCAAATAAAACAAAAAGCTAAAAACACCCAGAAAGCCAGTAAATCTAAATTATTTACTAACAAAACAAAATTCTAAATGTAACTAAAAGAGTGTAGTAATAGAATGACTAACATTTCCCCTGTGCTTTAGGACAGAGAGCAGAGGGACATTGATTCATCTAATAAAAGTCTGGTAAATAGAATATTCACTCTTCTCTCATGGTCATCTTTATTTGGAAGTCTGATAACCATCTCAGACTCAATTTAGCCAAAGTAAATTTTTGATTTTCACTCGCAGACCTCTGGGGAATCCTCTGATGATTCCAAAAGTGATTTCATTGATGCGCTCTCCACACATGAGCATTTTAAAAGGTTTTTTGATATTTAATTTTAATGCAATACAGTCAAACACATAGATGATAGATTACTTTGGAATTCATTCAGTTGTTTTGGAGGGCCAAATATATGATTAACTTTTTATCAATATTCCATGTGTGCTTGGAGAGTGAGTTGTTTTTCTCTTGGGTGTACATTTCTCTCTCTGCTTAATCTCTCAACTTTTAAGATGTGGTATTTGGAGAATATATTCCTTAGTCTGAGTCTTGTCTGCTTGACTTAGTGATATTTAAGAAGGTTGGGATAAAATCTCCAAGTACTGGTGTTGATGTAGCTATGGATTTTCATTTGCTGCTTTATGTATGTTGAGTTTGCATCTATTTATAATCTGGTTTGGCCCTTGAAAAATGTATAACAGCTTTATTTGTAACATAAGATGCTTTTCCCTTTAATTTTATCAGATACTATACTGAGATTACTATTCCCAGGGTCGTTTTTCTAAAAAACATTTGTTAGCAATATTTTCCCACCCTTTACAAAATGAAGAGTTATTCACATAATGTAAATTAATCATTTTAAAAGTGAGCAATTTTCCTTATCATAGGATCCAGCAATCCCACTCCTGGGCATGTACCTGGAGAAAAATATAATTCAAAAATACACATGCATCCCAATATTCACAGCAGACTATTTATAATAGTCAAGACATGGAAACAATCCAAATGTCCACTGACAGATGACTAGATAAAGATGTGGTAAATAGAATGGCATACTACTCAGCCATAAAAAAGATTAAAATAATGCCATTTGCAACAAAATGAATGGACCTGAAGATCATCATTCTAAATGAAGTAAGCCAGAAAGGGGGGGGGGATGCCATATGGTATTGTTTATATGTGGAATCTAAAAAATAAAACACAAACAAACTTACCTACAAAACAGAAACAGACTCACACACATAGAAAACAAACTTATAGTTACCATGGGGTAAGGAGGGTGGGGAAAGATAAATTGGGAATTAGAAAATTGCACCTCTTGGGGAGTGATGGAAATGTTCCCTATCTTGATTGTCGTGATGGTTTCATGGGTGTATACATCTATCAAAATTCATCAAATTGTACATCTGAAATATGTGTAGTTTATTGTACAGGAACCATACCACAATAAACGTTAAAAAATAATAATAAACTCATTAAAGTCAAGGTGGTAGAGGAAGCATTGTAGAAGGACAATATCATTCTTGAGGTTGCTTATATTGCATTTGGTAATTTCTGTTTCATTAGCTATTTTCTATTATTTACCATTCACCTATTACTTAAATTATTGTAAAATATTATAATAAAGTTTTATTTCTGGTGTTTTGAGTGAAAAAATCCCACAATTTTCTAAAATACATATGATGCAACAAAAACAGTGCTAAAAGAGAAGTTTATAGTGACATAGGCCTACCTCAAGAAGCAAGGAAAATCTCAGATAAACAACTTAATTGACCTAAAAGAACTAGAAAAAGAAGTACAAACAAAACCCAAAGTAAAAAGAAAAAAACAAAGTAAGCAGAAGGATGGAATTAACAAAAATCAGAGAGAAAATAATTGAAGTAAAGACCATAAAAACTATAGAAAAGATCAAATAAACCAAGAGCTGCTTTTTTTTCTAAAGAGAAGCAAAATTGGTAAGACTTTAGTCAGGCTAATCAAAAAAACTAGAGAGGACCAAAATATACAAAATGAGAAATGAAAGAAAAGAAATAACAACCAATATCACATAAATACAAAAAAAGTAACAATAGATTATTATAAACAGTTATATGCCAACAAATTGCACAACCTAGAAGAAACAGATACATTTCTAGGAATATACAATCTTCCAAGAATGAAACATGAAGAAATAGACAATATGGAAATATCAGTCACTAGTAGTAAAACTGAATTATAACTCTAAAAACCCTCCCAGAAAATGAAAGTCCAGGACCAGACAGCTTGACAAGGGAATTCTACTAAGCAAACATATAAACCAGAGCTAACACCTACACTTCTAAAGCTATTCCTCAAAATTGAAGAAGACAGAGCATGCCCAAATTCTCTCTGTGAGGCCACTATTACACTGATACTAAAATCAGACAAAAACACTACAGAAAATAAAAAAAATACAGGCCAATAACTCTGATGAATATAGATGCAAAAATCCTCAAAAAACTTAACTGAATTCAACAATGTATAAAAAAGGGTTATACACCATGCTCAAGTTGGATTTACTCCAGAGATAGAAGGGTATTTCAATATCTGCAACTCAATCTATGTGATACACTATACTAACAAAAGGAAGGATAAGAATCACATAATCATCTCAATAGACACAGAGAAAGCATTTGACAAAATTCAGTATCCATTCATGGTAAAAACTTTCATCAAAGTTGATACAGGGGAACATAGCACAATATAATAAAGGCCATTTTTGACAAACCCACAGCCAACCTAATACTCATTTTTCAGAAGCTGAAAGCCTTCCCTCTAAATTCAGGAACAAGACAAGGATGCCCACTCTCGCCACTTCTATTCAACACAGTATTGGAAGTCCTAGCCACAGCAATCAGACGAGAAAAAGAAATAAAAGTCATCAAAACTGGAAAGTAAAAGTAAAACAGGCTCTATTTGCAGGTGACAAGATACTATATATAGAAAACCCTAATACAATGTAAAAGGTGAAACACGTTTTCTCTGAAAAATATAATACAGTGGTGAAGGATATGGAAGATGACACAAAGAAGTGGAAAATTATCCCATGTTTGTGGGTTGGAAAAGTTAATATTGTTAAAATGTTCATGTTGCCAAAAGCATGCTACAGGTTTAATACAATCACTATCAAAATACCCATCACTTTTTCCAAAGAACTAGAACAAATAATTCTACAATTTATATGGAACCACAAAAGACCCTGAATTGCCAGGGTAATCTTGAAGGAAATTATAAAAAACAAAAACAAAAACAAAAACAAACAGAGCTGGCAGTATCACATGCTCTGACTTCAGACTATACTACAAACCTACAGTAATCAAAACAGCATACTACTGGCACAAAAACAGACCTGTTGATCAACAGAACAGAATAGAACCCAGAAATAAACCTATGTACTTAGGGTCAACTAATCCACAGCAAGGAGGAAAGAATATACAGTGGAGACAAGGCAACCTCTTCAGTACTGTTGCTGGGGAAACTGGACAGCTACACGTAAAAGAATGGAATTAAAATAATTCTCTACATCATATACAAAAATAAACTCAGAATGGATTAAAGATCTAAATGTAAGAATTAAAACCATAAAATACCGTGATCAGAACGTAGGCAAAACAATCTTACATAAAGTGTAGCAATACTTCTGCAATATGACTCAATAAGCAAAAGAAATAAAAGCAGAAATAAACAACTGGGATCTAATTAAGCTTAAAAGCTTTTGTGTAGCAAAGGAAACCGAAATGATACAAAGCAAAAAAAGTCATTTGTTCCTGAAACTTTTGTTCCCTTAAGATCATCAATTACTGAGACTTATTCAAGGGCAATAGTTGTGGCCAGGCTTAGATCACAAAATGGCTTAGTCCAAAAATGGCTTCTCGTATGTCAAGAATGCAGGCCTGGTTCTCCATCTTCAGGGACCCCCCTACCCTATCTACTTATAATATGAGGAGGAATAGACCTCAAGTGGGGAGACTATTTCCTCTTGTGCCCACTTTGAAGTAAGATCGAACATTAAAACGGTCACCAAATAAATTCAGCTTGGAAAGGTAATGACTGACATATTACCAGAGGTTTCATAGTAAGGTAGGGAAGAAGCTTTACAGCTGATGTTGTGTGGAAACTCTTTTTACAACTACTTTCAACGCCTGTATTCTTTGCATCCAATTTTTCACCAAGCTCTGAGCCATCATATTCTCTCTCTTTCCCTAAAGACAGCATCACTCCAGTAATCGGATCTTCATGTCTTTTTCCAATTCTTTCCTTCCCCACCAAGCAAGCATGTGACCCGATCATGTGCAGCCACACCCTTACCTTTTCTCTTTCCTGGGTACCTCTCTCTATTCCACTGCTTATATAGAGAAATCTCTCTCTCTCTCTCTCTCTCTCTCTCTCTCTCTCTCTCTTTCTCACTCCCGGCCCCCCTCTTCTCCATCCTCATGCTCAATGCTTAGTTCAGAAACAAGTCTATTCCTAAGATTTCAAGGCAGTGGGAAATTGTAGATAACCAGCCATTCATTGCTGGCACATTTTGGATTTTTTCCCTTCACAGGGCTTGAGAAATAAAAAGGTACTCTATTAAAAGTACCAAATATAATATACTGCTCAACAGATAGTATATACTCATTTTTTCTTTTTTACTATTGCTTTATCAGCATCAGTCGCAGCAGCTTAATACCCAGGAATAATGTTATTGCTTTTCCATGGCCTTGGATTAAGAAATATATCATTAGAAGTGATATCAAATGCATAAGCAACAACAACAACAAAAAATACATAAATTGGATGCTGTCAAAATTAAAAATCTTCTGTACTGCAAAGAATGTCAACAAGGGAATGAAAAGAAATCTCACAGAATGTAAGAAAATATTTGAAATATCACATAGCTCATAAGAAACTTGTAACTAGAAAATATAAAAAGTTGTTAGAACTCATATGGTATTTTTCTTTCTCTTTCTGGAATAGAATAACATTCTCCAGGAAAATCCATGTTGCTGCAAATGGCGTTATGTTGTCATTTTATGGCTGAATAGTATTCCATTGTATAAATATACACATCTTCTTTATCCAGTCATCTGTTGATGGACACTTAGGCTGTTTCCATGTCTTGGCTATTGTAAATAGTGCTGCTATGAACATTGGGGTGCAAGTGTCTTTTTGAAGTAA